AATTGGTTACAGCGTTTTTGAGTTTTTTCCGACATGCTGACGACAGACGGACAACGGTATACCATAATACGTACCGTATAAAAACTCCGGGGTTCACCACGAAAAATATTATTAACTGTGACAACAAAAATACCATAAAATGAAGTTGAAAAGATTATGAGTCTCCTGCACTATGTTCTTAAGACCTTTTTATAAGGGATCCAATAATTTCTAATTTAATACTGGAAAGTTGTGGTAGAACGTTTTCCGAACAGAAAACTTGCATTGAATTGAAAAAGGTTAATTTTGATCAACGTAGTAATATGTTTTGGTGAATTATTGAGAATATATGATATTTTCATTCATTAAATTACATTTATATACTAGAACAGTCTTTTTTTAAAGTCAGAAATATAAAATTTTCGTTAAAAAACCCGGACCATTTGTTTAAAAACCCGGACGGTTTCACAGTTCCTCTCGAAAAAGCCCGGACAATAACAAACACTGAATTTAATGGTTAAATACAAGGAAATTGTGCTTCTTTGTTACTCAAAACATGTATAGTATTCAAAATAAGATGGGTAGTCACGTAAAAAACTATTATAATTACGAATTAGTAGTTAATTGACCTGAACGCATGTTTTATCACTCGAAAAAGCCCGATCTACACTCGAAAAAAATGGACAGATTCAATCGAAAAACCACGATCCTAGCCGGACACTTTACCTACCGTGATCATTAATCACGAGGGATATAAAAAGAAATCATCAAAGATACAAGGTAAGCCAGGCGAGCGGTTCGTCAATATAAAAGTCATCCGTGGCACTCGCAACAGGTAGAAAGAAGGCCGAATCAGAGATGGAGTTGATCAAGCTATTTCCAAAACGCTGGGCCAAATTTTGCTTATACCATCTATGTCTGGGGATTGAAAAACCATTAGTTTTTCGATTTTTTTAATATTTTGTGTAAATTTACAGAATAAGATCGTATCAAGAATATGCATGTCAGCACAGAGTCACTGACTACTTGGCTGGGGATACCCTTTGGGTCGAAACTTTCACTATTGGCATCGACTCAGTGGTAAAAGAACTCATAATTAATACAAGACTTATTATTTTGGTCGATGTAATGCGTTGCCTGGTCATTCATGGGCGATTAAGTTTCAATATTAACGAAATCTTCTTTTTCTTTCAATATGATAACCCATTACACTTTCCTTTACTATCTGATACACTAATTTAGTTACAAATGTGTCCTGGTGTGTTGAAATGTGATCCTAATAGGTTCTATAGAACGTATGTTTCCTTTACAATTTGCATATGATTAGGTGCATGCTGCCTTTTAAGCTTTTTTCAAATGTACTGTTTTTTGTCTTTATCTTGGTGCACAGTATCATCGATTAACAAAAATCGTGTTGACTAGCACATATTATTTAGTTTTTGTTTTTCTTTAACCTGCCATTAATTAAATACTTCATATTGTTTTCACAGATTCATAATCCTTCGTGATCCGACTGACTCGACCGGCGTTATCTATTCATTCACGATCATTTGTCCAGATATATCGATTGGCGACCGCGTCAAAAAATACTTGAAAGAGTTTTCGCATCATAAAAACAACCTTTAAACTAATCAGACAATGATATTTAAATTCTAATTCTTAAAATAAACGAAGTGGGAACCTGGTTTGGTGGAATCATTGAAAAAGTACCGCATACTCTAGTCACCGATTAAAAAATAAAAATCAGCTCACATTGCGACTCAATCCACCTGGATCCGGCTGTTCGTCTTTTGGTTCAATAATTTGGGTTCAATAACGCAACCATGGGTTACATTTAATCATAGCATATTTTTGTTGTTCGTCCTCTTTTTAAATTTCACATTTCTGGAAATCCTTGGTTTAAGAATTTGGATTAAACCATGCACCGATCCTTGGTAAAGAATAACTTTGTTTAAATACTTTTGTCGAAAATAAAGATTTTCTGTTCATTAAAAGTAAGGGCACTGAAAGTTTGGGACACCAATTCTTTGTTTTGCAGTCCCTCCCCATTGTTAGAGCATCGCTGGCCGAGATTCAATAATGTGGGTTCAATAACGCAACCATTGGTTAAATTTAATCATAGCATTTTTTTGTTGTTCGTCCTCTTTTTAAATTTCACACTTCTGGAAATCCTTGGTTTAAGAATTTAGATTAAACCATGCACCGATCCTTGGAAAAAAAATTGTTTAAATACTTTTGCCGAAAATAAAGATTCTCTGTTCATTAAAAGTAAGGGCACCGAAAGTTTGGGACACCAATTCTTTGTTTTGCAATTCCTCTCCATTTTTACAGCATCGCTGGCCGAGTGGTCCTAGTAGTTCATCAATCAATCTCCGAAATCTAAAGGGTTGCCAGTTTTCCTGCCGAAAGTCTACGATTCCCTCAGGTACCCCAGCGTCCTCCGCCTATTAAAAACCTGGCTGGCATGATTTTGCCAAGGCCGCCGAAAGTGGTGTTATACAAAAGAAACCCTCCCCTTTTTTAATAAAAGAACCGAATTCCAATGTCCCCCGCGTTTCACATATTTTATCTTCTGTTCAACGGCAATAACTAAAAAAAATTGTTTCTTCTTTAAAACTTTTGGAAATTATCTCACTAGAGAGTTGAAGACTTGAGAGCAATTTCCGATATATTTAATATTTCCAAGGGAATCCCATTTTATTAAAAAAATATTTGACTGGCACTTATTTTCGAATTTTTCCGAGACATTGCTGTTATATACCTTTGATATGAATTTGATAAAAATCTGACAAGAATTGTACATGTGAGAGCACTTACAATGCAAATTCCCCATATAATTTCTATTTTTAAGGGTCATAAATCTTTTAAAAATACTTGGTTGCCGCACTGATTTTCAAACACGTCCGAGAAATTGCTGATATAAACCTACAATATATATAAATTTCAGAACAATCTGACAAGAATTGAACACCTGAGAGCGCTAACGATGCAATTTTCCATATAATTAATGTTTCCAAGGGCCATAACTATTTTAAAAATACTTGATCGGCACTGATTTTCGAACTCGTTCGAGACATTGATGATATAAACCTACAATATAAGTTTCATAAAATCTGACAAGAATTGTACACATGAGAGCGCTAACGATGCAATTTTCCATATAATTAATGTTTCCAAGGGCCATAACTATTTTAAAAATACTTGATCGGCACTGATTTTCGAACTCGTTCGAGACATTGATGATATAAACCTACAATATAAGTTTCATAAAATCTGGCAAGAATTGTACACATGAGAGCGCTAACGATGCAATTTTCCATAAAATTAATGTTTCCAAGGGACAAAACTCTTTAAAAAAACTTGATTGGCATTGATTTTCGAACTCGTCCGAGACATTGCTGATATAAACCTACAATATAAGTTTCATAAAAATCTGGCAAGAATTGTGCACATGAGAGCGCTAACGATGCAATTTTCCATATAATTAATGTTTCCAAGAGATAACTCTTTTTAAAATAGTTGATCGGCACTAATTTTCGAACTCATCCGAGACATTGCTGATATAAATCTATGGTATAAGCTTTATAAAAATAAGAATTATGAGATCGCTAATCAGACCGAACGGACGGACGCCCGGTATTTCTATGTCCCCCGCAACGCGTCGCGCGGGGGACAAAAATGAGCTGATTTGCAAACAGGGCAGGGAATTAATACTGTTTTAAAAATAGTATTTTGGCAAGCGCAATTACTGTCACTTGCATCAAAGTCACATTTGAACGATTGCAAGTCGCATTTGAACGATTGCAAGTTACATTTGAGTTATTGCAAGTGTGCTTTACGTGTTGGTAAAGAATGTGACACTCTACCAACACGAGACATTTAATATCATAATACTGAACAAACGCGAAAACTCCTCATATAGTTTAGTACACTAGATATGCGTTTTGTTTTACATAAGACTGGGTTTTCAAATCAAAACATTTGGTAAACCAAATCAGTATTGAAGATGAAGAGCATTGAAAATCGAAAATGCCAGCACAGAAGCGATGACTACTGAAATGGTGATGACAAAACGTAAAATACAGTTTTACCGAACTAGTAGTTGTAAAAACTCATCGGATGTCTACGTTTGCATACATCCTGTCTTTTCAAAACGACGGCTCGACTTCTTCTACCAATACTAGTAGAAGGAATCCATGTGACCATATTCCTGTACACCAGTCAACTCTTAGGGGCATTGTTTTATGATATATTAGTGAGTTGACTAAAAAATCACTTTCAAAATCTAAAAATTTAAATCTTCCCAACCAGAATGAACGTTAATTATGGACTGAAGATCCTTTTTTTTTTTAGAAAAAAATATAGTTAATAGACTATGTCACCCAACAGTACTAGGACAGTCGATGATTCTAAAAGTATCAAATTAAATTGATAAAATGTAAAGTAAAACATTCATATATTTAGTATTAATTCCACATCCATAATTCTTCATGCATTCCAATCACCAGTATACCCAAAGACAAATTGGTAAATAGCTGAAGCTTTTTTATGAAGCTTTAACTGTTAATTTTTACAGTACATATAGGAATAAATTGGTACAAAACACAACACTGAAAAAATTTGAAAAGTTTATTTTTTCTTTTCATCTTTAAATACCATCTAAAAAGAAAAGTTTGGCTGTTTTTCCTCATTGACAATAGTTTGTGTATAAAAGTAAAATGCTTTGTCCTGTTAAAATTCATGTAAATGATTTCTATAATTACATAAACTAAATTGTTAGATAAATGAGTGAGTTAATTTTAGTACGGCTAACACCGATAACATAGATAATATGACAAATTAATACAACAGTTGTAAGTAAAATCATTCCTGCTGTCACCATGAGATCAGTAATTGTCAGTTAAAAACTAAAATCAATACTAACAAAAATCCGGTGTAGCGAAAATTTGACCATTCATGCATTGTTAAATAATCAAGAAGACTTAGCAGATGAGAAGCCGTTGAGGTAGGGTCTGTGGTACCTGTTGTTAAAGTTTTCAAATCTGTTTGATCTCTAGCAGCTTCGCAGTTTTCAGGGTTACCACGTCTACAAAGAGAATAAATTGTTTAGTTCAACGATTGCTTGATGAGTTAAATGAAAATCTCTCAGAAATATGTGCCAATTATACAGATAACTCTTGTAATACTGACGTATCTTTACACTAAACCCGGTGGATGTGAACTGATTGATACTTAAGTCTGGCAGATCATGATTTATGTATTAGTTGTAATAGTTTATTTGCCAATGCCCGTAATTTACCCTGTAATTAGAGATTCATTTTAAGTTGTCTTCCTTAGGAGGGACATACATTTTCATTGACAATGGAGAGCTAGCGGATAGCAAATTCATCTGTGCGTCATGTATGTAACCTTCAAGTTTTTCAGATCTTTTAATAACATTTAATTTTTTTGTTAACCTAAAACCTCTTGATACCAGAAGTTATTTTTTATTAAATATCGGTTAAAACGCCAATATATATCACTTTCAACATATCATGCTTTGCATAGGCAGAAGTCAATTTTGTCCGGTATAGAACCATTCTACGATTGAAAAAGAGAAGCTTTGAGAAATAAAAGTTTCAAGTTTCAACCAAGTTGTGTTAAAAGTGTGTAATAACATTATCAAATCGGTAATTGGCAAATGGACTATTGATTTAGAATTAGCATTCAGTAACTGCGAGTACTCTTATATCGGTGCTTTGTGTCTTTTGTTTTTACGTAGGTTGTTTTTGTGCGTCGTACCAATCTTTGGGTTAAGCCAATTGAAACTGATTTTTACAGTTTGTTTTTATGATTTTACTGTTACACTACTGTCCGGAGGATTGAGCTCTCACAAACGTGTTTAACCCCGCCACATTCTTTTTTGTCTGTCCCAAAGTCAGGTACCTGTAATTCAGTGGTTGTCGTTGGTTCACGTCTCATTTTTGTTTTTCGTTAACTATTTTGTTAAAAATTATGCCGTTAGATTTCTCTTTTGAATTGTTTCACATTTTGTTTCATATTGGGGCCTTTTATAGCCGACTATACGGTATGGGTTTTTCTCATTGTTGAAGGCCTATAATTGTTTATATCCACTTAACTAAACTCTGATGGATAGTTGTTTCATTGATGATCATACCACATCGGCTTATTTCTATATCAATCACAAAAGAAATAATTAAATTATATACCTTTGTCATTCTGTGCATTGTAGGAAAATTTAGACATGAATGGAACTACACTAGAAATATTTGGGCTTTAAACTGAAATAAAGATCATCAAATTTTTCATATCCTTTATCCATCATTTAAAAAAGTCAATTTAGAAAGCTTTTTGCAGTTTTGCACAATGAAATAAGAGTGTAAAACTGGGATCAAGAGCTTTTTAAGACTGGCAACCAGAATCTGAAGTTTCCTTTCATTGAAACATATAGTCATGATCAAATTATTGCACCGGTGCGGGTTTCACTTGAATGCTCGACAATTAAGGTCATTGGTGGGTTATTCTTGTTTCCTTTCTATCTATTTTGTTTTTGACAGATGAATGTAGTTGTTTTGTAACCACCTTGCTGGGTCTATTATTCTGTATAATTTTCCTTTAGCAGAGGCTGAACTTGGAAATCCTGTTGACACCATATACAGTTCTCCTGTAAAAGATGATATAATTTAGTTTATTAATCAAAATCAATAATCGAACAAATATTCAAATTGCATTATGTAGTGTAACGTAGGAGCTTGCAAGAAGATGGTTGTTAGAATATGTGTGCTTTATAATGTAAAGAAAGCAAATTGAATTAATAATTTTTTTCAACATGAAGAGCTTTGAATAATTTTCATAGATTGATAAGAATATGTCCTTGAAAGAAATGAGATTTTTCTTTCCAATCTTACATTCAAATGGTCACCTTAGCGTGTAATTGGTTATGATTACCTAAAAAAAAAAAAAAAGAAACCACTAAGGAGCTAGAATTGTTTTATGGTCGTTATGATAATGGTACGGTACACACCACCAAACTTCTATTTTTTAGCCGATCTGAAATCCAAATTGATCGCCACCTTAAAACAAAGTTTAACAAACGCATTTATAACAGTGGTTAGCTATTTAAAAAATAAAATAAAAGAAGGATGTGTCTGAGGACACGAATGCCCCTGCTCAAGCTTTGCAATTTTCCAAGTTGAAAAGGAGCATAACTCTAAACCGGTAAATCCAAAATTCGAACTCTGTCCTTAGCATTGTATATGAGTTTCATAAAACTTGCATGAGGCAAACTAACGTTATAGTGTGGAAACGAAAATGGGATAGGCGGACGGACAGACGGTCAAGGGTAACACTTAATGCCCCAGTTGCCTAAGGCGGTGGCATACAAATAGCAGGAAGTTTCATACATAAATTTCTGATATACGTTCAGATTTGAACCTCTGTATGCTCTGCATCGCAAATGATGAGTTCTAATCGTCTGAAAATTCATAAAACTTTTTGCTAGAAACCACTCTGTAGATGCATATATATAAACAAGTCTAAATTGAAAACAACGTTCAAACCTATGATTGCGTTGGATAAAAACCGCAATTTTTATACGCGTGCATGCAAAACAAATTTCTTGTTAGAGGGGTCTAAATACAGCACAAACAACATTTACCAAAAGACCAAAAAAGTGAAAAAGTATATTTCAACAAAACGCATTTGACTAACAGGTCGAACAACAAATGTTCTTAAACCCTGCTGACTGCCATTGGCGATTGCCAAATAAACGGATCACCGATGTAATAAATGGATCTTAATTATAAATTTAATACTAAACAGAAAACAATAAACTTGCGGAACAGATGGTATACCGCAAACAAAAGGTGCAAAGGTTTTTGTCGAGCCTGCGACTTTTGTCGCAGAAAGCTCGACATAGGGATAGTGATCCGGCGGCGGCGGCGTTAGCTTACTTCTTAAAAGCTTTATATTTTAGAAGGTGGAAGACCTGGATGCTTCATACTTTGTATATGGATGCCTCATGTTACGAAGTTTCCGTCAGTCACATGTCCAATGTCCTTGACCTCATTTTCATGGTTCAGTGACTTCTTGAAAAAAAAGTTAACATTTTTTGTAATGTTAAATTCTCTCTTATTGTAAGTAGTAGGATAACTATATTTGGTATGTGCGTACCTTGCAAGGTCCTCATGCCCGTCAGACAGTTTTCACTTGACCTCGACCTCATTTCATGGATCAGTGAACAAGGTTAAGTTTTGGTGGTCAAGTCCATATCTCAGATACTATAAGCAATAGGTCAAATATATTCGGTGTTTGGAAGGACTGTAAGGTGTACATGTCCAACTGGCAGGTGTCATCTGACCTTGACCTCATTTTCATGGTTCAGTGGTTATGGTTAAGTTTTTGTGTTTTGGTCTGGTTTTCTTATACTGTATGCAATAGGTCTACTATATTTGGTGTATGGAATGATTGTAAGGTGTACATGTCTAGCTAGAAAGTGTCATTTGACCTTGACCTCATTTTCATGGTTCATTGGTCAAAGTTAAGATTTTGAGTTTTGGTCTTTTTTTCTAATACTATATGCAATAGATCAACTATATTTGGTGTATGGAAATATTTTATGATCTATATGTCAGTCGCGCAGGTTTTATTTGACCTTGACCTCATTTTCAGTTCATTGCTCAGTGTTAAGTTTTTGTGTTTTGGTCTGTTTTTCTTAAACTTTAAGCAATAGGTCAACTATATTTGTTGTATGGAAGAATTGTTAGCCGTACATGCCTGCCTGGCATGGTTCATCTGACCTTGACCTCATTCTCATGGTTCATTGGTCAATGTTTAGTTATCTTGGTTAATGTTAAGTTTATGTGACAGTTGTAATAAAGCTTTATATTTAGGACTATCAACATAATATCAATGATTAGTAAAGAAGGCGATACATTTCAGCGTGTGCACTCTTGTTGTACACCATATCCGGATTTCGACAATTAATGTCTCTTCAGTGATGTTAGGAATCGAAACGGTATTTGGAAAGCCATACAATTTACCTCAATTTAGGATAATAGACTCTTGAATTTTGAGGAGTCAAAATAGGATAAACGGATCATATAAACCCGAAGGCAAATATAATACAAGCCCAAACGAAAAAATATAAACAAGTCTAAATTGAAAACAACGTTCAAACCTATGATTGCGTTGGATAAAAACCGCAATTTTTATACGTGTGCATGCAAAAACAAATTTCTTGTTAGAGGGGTCTAAATACAGCACAAACAACATTTACCAAAAGACCAAAAAAGTGAAAAAGTATATTTTAACAAAACGCATTTGACTTACAGGTCGAACAACAAATGTTCTTAAACCCTGCTGACTGCCATTGGCGATTGCCAAATAAACGGATCACCGATGTAATAAATGGATCTTAATTATAAATTTGATACTAAACAGAAAACAATAAACTTGCGGAACAGATGGTATACCGCAAACAAAAGGTGCAAAGGTTTTTGTACACCATATCCGGAATATATATATATATATCGATCTAAAAGCCAAAATAGCAACATAGGAACATAGTTAAACAATAGGCCACATAGGATATGTATTCTCAGCCTCTTTGACTACAATTAAACTTCACAGATAGAGAATGTGATGCAGTGATAATGATAATAAAATTGAGAATGGAAATGGGGAATCTGTCAAAGAGACAACAACCCGACCAAAGAGCAGAAAACACCGAAGTCCACCAATTGGTCTTCAACACAGCGAGAAAATCCCGCACCCGGAGGCGGGCTTCAGCTGGCCCCTAAACAAAAATGGGTACTTGTTCAGTGAAAATGGACGTCACACTAAACTCCAAAACATATAAATGAACTTAAATTAAAAAAACATACAAGACTAACCAAGGCCAGAGGCTCCTGACTTAGGACAGGCGCAAAAATGCGGCGGGGTTAAACATGTTTTGTGAGATCTCAACCCGCTAATTAATTTGTGGTTTTTATTATTATAAAATATTTCATTTTGAATTTTCTGTTTCGATTCTTGTTGGTTTATTTACTGTGAACGTTGTATGTTTGCATCCCAGGTTTTCACATGCATGTCATATCACTATTTTATGTATTGACCGTAACTGTGTGGCGTAAGAACTATATATGCTTAGTTGTTCATTAAAAGGCGTTGTTTTTATATTGCACTTGTTCATTTATGTAACCAGATTCATATACGGTGAGTGATATGATATGGGGTGTTTTTTTTGTTGAGAAATTTTGTTAACTTCGGAGAAAGCAACCAAACTTTAACAAAATTCCACAAAATAAACATGACTTTAAATAAGATTTTGTTTAAATTTGTTATGAGATTAATATTTAAACCTAAAGGTAACTCATCGGATACCTCATAAAACAAAGCATAGACCATTCGAAGGAAGACAAATAGCAAATGTAATATATAAGTCAAAGCAAATGACTGTCATATTCCTACATTGATACAGGCATCTTCTCATGATCGGAAACGTGTTAGTTTAACAATGTTTTACGGCGCAAAAGCTTCTACTTTTATAGCTGTTTTTAATGTTGTAAGTTTATTTATGCCCTTGAATCAAAACCAAATTACATTGAGACTGTAACTATTTGCTTAGTTGCACATTAAGAGAAGTCGTTTTAACTATTTAAATTACCAGATTCATCTTCGCCGAAAGATATGATATTGGGTTCGTATTTTCCTGTCAACGGAGGTACACATACTTCTGGACCACATGTTGTTATCTGTTTGCCGTTCCAGGTGCTGCTGGTTATATTTTCTTCAAGACTGAACAATTTCCTGATATAAAATTATCTAGTACTAATAAATACCTGTTCTAGTAATTAAGATATAATTTATCATACATAAGATAAGTAGCAATTATTATAGTATTTGCATTCAAGGTAGTTCGAACTAATCGTGACAGACATATTCCTCCCTTAGTTTTATATAGGTTCTATTCTCATTGACCCCGTACTCTTCTACCATTCTTCCGTTTAGGCTTTAAAAATATTAATTGGAATACATTTCAGTTACAAATATTTTGGGCTTTGAATAATCAGAATGCAACCTTGAATAAATCATTAATAATTTATATTCTTAATGTTCTTATCTATGGTGATGATATCGTTCAATGTTTCGATGATCATTAGCCGAGACAAACCAATGAAATATAAAATGATATGTGCTGCTCCTCCGCACATCAGAAATTGTCTAAAATGCAGGTTGCGGCTTGCGGGTTGCGGGTTGCAGGTTGCAGGTTGCAGGTTGAAGGTTGCTGGTTTAAGTATTAGATATACCACGAGGGCATTAGCATGAGAGGGTGGATCTAATTTACACAATTTTATGATCAATGTTAAAGGCAGGTTATCCAATTATGTTAAACAACATTCTGCTGAAAATAAAATAGAAATCTATCAATTTACATTAATCATAATATCTTGAGATGTAAATGCACTTAATTGGTCTAACACCCTCAGAGTTTATCTAATACATACACTTTCTGTTCGAAAAGAGAAAACTGAACAAATATCTGGGTAAAACTTTCAACAAATGCATAGAACATACATACTAAAACATCAAGACTTGACACGGATTTTATATAGTGGTAAAGACTTATTGCCTTTTAACTAGATGTATACGTATATCATTGTATATATTTTTAATGAACGGTGTTTCTGGATTTTTCAGCGAAGTTCTATTGCATTCTAAGCAAGGGTCCTTCTCAAAAGTCTACCTATTCAAAAGTCTTGTTTTCGATTGATGCTCCTTCAAAGTTAAAATTAAGTTCTAAAATGGTGGACGATCAACTTTTTTTAAAAGAGTTATGTCCCTTGGAAATATTCAACTTATGGAAAATGGCCTCGTTAGCGTTCACACAGGTAAAATTCTTGCCAGATATTTATAAAACTTATACTTTAGGTTAATATCAGAAGTATCTCGGACAAGTTATATAAAGGTGGACGATCGGATTTTTATGCCCCCGCCGTAGCGGTGGGGTCATTAAGTTTTACCCTTGTCCGTCTGTACGTACGTCCCAAAATTGGTTTCCGTTCTCTAACTTGAGTTTGCCTCAACCAAATGTTATGAAACTTATACACAATGCTCATTACCACAAAACACAGATCAAGTTTGAATTTTGGTGGCGTCACTTTAAACGTTCTAGAGTTATGCCCCTTTATAAATGGAAAAATTGCAAAATTTTTAGTTTCCGTTCTCTAACTTACGTTTGCCTCAACCAAATGTTATGAAACTTTTACACAATGCTTATTACCACAAAACACAGATCAAGTTTGAATTTTGGTGGCGTCACTTTAACTGTTCTAGAGTTATGCCCCTTTATAAATGGAAAAATTGAAAAAAATTTAGTTTCCGTTCTCTAACTTAAGTTTGCCTCGACCAAATGTTATGAAACTTATACACAATGCTTATTACAACAAAACACAGATCAAATTTGAATTATGGTGGCGTCACTTCAACTGTTCTAGAGTTATGCCCTTTATAAATGGAAAAATTGCAAAATTTTTATTTTCTTCTAAATATCAAGTAATTTTTAAAATTGGAGTTATCTTCCTTAGTCCATGATTATAGTTGAATCAACTACAATCAATGTTTAATACAATGCAATGTTTAATTTTGACTTCCACTGATAAAACACAGATCAAGTTGAATTTGGGTAGTGTCACCTAATCATTATTGAGTTATGCCCCTTTATAAATTGAAAGATTGCAAAATGTTTAGTTTCCATTCTGTAACTTAAGTTTGCCCCAACCAAACATTATGAAACCTATACACAATATTCATTACCACAAAACTAAGATCAAGTACACATTTTTTGTTTCCGTTTTCTAACTTTAGTTTGTCTCAACCAAATGTTATGAAACTTATACACAGTGCTTATTACTACATAATACAGCATAAGTACGAAATTTGGTGGCGACACTTTTACCATTCTTGAGTTATGTCCCTTTATTAACATAAAAATTGCTGAATTTTTCGTTTCCGTTCTCTAACTTTAGTTTGTCTCAACCAAATGTTATAAAACTTATACACAACTGTTCTAGAGTTATGCGTGTTTACAAATAGAAAAATTGCTGAATTTTTAGTTTCTGTTCTCTACTTAAGTTAGCCTCAACCAAATGTTATGAGACTTATGTGACGACTTGTTTCACTTGTTATTACAATTTGAAAAGTATGTCTAGGATGTGCACTTATAATTGGGAGATACTAATACGACATGCAACCTGAAATCAAGGACACCACTCGATTTAAAACGCTCCCCTTTGTACACCTCAGTATGTAAGTACGTCACTTCTGTATTGGAGATATACGTAAACTTAATAATCGTGTTTTGCGAGGTGTTTTGTCTCTCTCTGACAAACCATTCAGTAAAGTTGGGGAGGCCAAACAGAAATGTATTTTCAGAAAATGGCTGTTTAAGTAGCTGAACACACTTTTGTTTTAAAAGTTGTATTTTTTGCTCACCTTGAATAAAGTTTTATAAAAATAAAGTTACTGTTTGACTTGACAGTTGAGAAACCAGATAATTGCTAGAGATAACCAAAAGTGCTGAATCACTAAGTATAAAAGACCGGCTAACAGAGGTGCCCCTTCTGTTTTGGCAAAAAAATAAGGCAATTAATTATTTAAAGCTAATAACTTCTTAATATTAGCCTCAAAGATTTTTAATGTCCACTGAAAGGAATTTACTTGTTTATGTAACTAGATAAAGACAGATTAATGTGTCCATAGAACCTGTTCAGCCTATGTCAATTTGAAGTTTTAATTACTTTAACTTAACTATAGAATCAATGTTAAGAACTATTAATAGCAATTGAGCAGTAGGATAAGCATCAAAAGATACATGTATGTGTATTAAAATTATGATTAATGAATTTGAAGATTATGAAAAAAAAAAAAATTAAATACTGAAAACTGATAACTGACAAAATACTTTTACCATACAGTACTGTAAGAAATATTTGTAAAGGACAAGGTTCACTTATGGCACAAAATGGCCTAACATATCAACTTTATCATTAAGTTCACAGTTTGGTTCGTAAATTGGTCTTTTTCAAAAACCTTACTGCTAAATAAATCAGTTCTTTTCATAAAAGTACATGATATTCTCCAAAGTAGGCCCATTTTGGACATTTTGTCAAAATATGATGATTTTGTGCAATTTTCAGACCTAAAAGCTATAGGAAAACCTTGGCCGCCACCTACGATCTAAAATGTTTTGTAACTAAAAGATTCCAATTTAGCGGATATAGAGTTCATCAATATAAAAACTTTTTGGATCGTGGATGGCGGCTAAGCTTAATTATGCCAAAAACAATTAAAATTATGGAAAAAATTTACCAAAATTGACCTTTAATACAAATAATGTTTATTTAAGGGGTCATAGCTTCATAAATTTGAAAGGAAGGTGCCAAAAAAATATATTTTTGTCTTCATAGTATTATCACAAGTATTTCTATGTGAAATTTTAAATTTTTTGTCCCGATATAAAAAACATCAAAAATTTAGGGCCAATTTTACCCTTCGTGGACCTTCTCCTTTATTAGTCATGGGGTAGATTTTATATGTATTAATTCCCCTAATATGACCTTTTTACATATATAATATTTATATGTGTGACCTGCAACCTGCAACCTGCAACCTGCAACCCGCAACCCGCAACCTGCAAAATAGCACTTCCCGCACATCAAATGCAATTTAGAGGTGGAGCAAAGATTTGAATTTATGCGGGGAAAGTTCGTCCTCCAACGGAATACTGGTCTAGTACAAATCAATGTTCATATTGATAAAGTTTAAGATGTTTTCGTAGGTATTCTGACTGAAAGATTGTCCTTATATAGACATTACACATTCATTAATCTTGATAATATATTCAAATTATATGAGCTGATTTTATCATGATAATCTTGAGCAAAATTTACTGGATAATCAACTGTAAACTGACTTACCCGTTCATGAAGTCTCCAAAAATGTACAGACCATTTAAATTAGGGTTCAAACATCCTCTGTAAAAGTGACCTCCGGTTACTGACTTCCCAGTGGCATGAGGATAGGAATATACAGGAAGAATTTCAGGGCCTAATGGAATAAATATAGTGTTTTAACATCATCAAATCTCCACAACCAATACATAGTTTTTTTCTTCTCAAAAATTGATGTGTTGTTCCAACACAACTTTCCGTTTTATTAAAAGAAAATAACACTTTTTAAATTTCGTACGGCGGAAGCGCTTTCCTGGATTTACCTTCATCAGGAAAACTCAAACCCAAAAGCCAGCATTGTAGAATAATATAATAGGGTCACCGACTTCGTTTTTTTTTTGGTGTATTAAATAATCTGTTATGTTAGAAGAGAAAAACGTCGAAAAACGACGTGGAATGGATTTACAATTCGATGGCGTTATGCTTATTTCGACATTTTTGGTGTTTTTACACCAAGAACACCACTCCGACAAATGTTTACCAAATAAACGAAGTCGTTGACCATATAATTATTTTACATCATTAAAACGGAAATTTATCTGGAAACAACATATCGATTTTCAAGAAAGAAAAACTATGTACTGGGTTTAGGGAAAGGAGTTTTTACGGATAATTTTGACACAAATTTTGATAGATTTTATGTTCACACAATACAAATGTTGAAATGTTAAAGGATTTTTATTATAATTGAAATAATATTTTATTAGTAAATTTAACTAGGAAAGTCATCTCTTACACAAGTTCTTTGTATCAATAAATTAAAAAGATACGATATTTACCTATTTTACCACAATCCTCATTGAAGCAAGCAAATCCTTCTCTGGAATTCCATCCATAATTACCACCTTTTTGGAGAAGATCAACTTCCTCGTGGGCATTCTGTCCAACATCCCCACACATGATTCTTCCTTTTCCATAACCTGCCGTAAATATATTATAATTTAAATATGTATTTAACTTTTAATATATCTTTTAATTGAATTGATGTTCTGACAGACTTCTCAATTGAATTGTTTGATATTTTCATATTGGGGACTTTTATAGCCGACTATACGGTATTGTTTTTTTTCTCATTGTTGAAGGCCGCACTGTTGCCTATAATTGCTTACATCCGCTTTATTTAAACTTTTGTGGATAGTTGTTTCTTTATATTAGTATAGAACAATAACAAATTTCATTGATTTGGTTGGTTTTGTTTTAGTTTTTTTAACGCCACTTCTTGATGGACCTTGGTTAAATCATGGCGGACAGTCTTAATTGTCGGAGTTATAAGTGACCGAATGCATATGAGGTACGAGGAAATAACCAATATATAAAAAAAAACGTCGATTCTATATTCGTGTAAACAGTTGTTTTTCAAAGTTCTTTAAGGTTCAATCTTATACCTTACGACAAAATTACGATTTAAGCGGTACTCTTTAAAGTCATCAATTATTATTAAAAAAGTCTTTAAGGGAACATACAAATGAGTTATCCATATGCACACCAGTTAAGTCTTCCTACAAATGCAGTTCATCTTTGCCATAGAAAAGTCTAATAGTCAAAACAAATACAAGCAAGTAGGCCGTCCATGGCCAGCAGTTGGGAGCACATTGATAAGGTGTATGCATGACTGAACGGGATATATTCGAAGTGTTTTCGTTTAATTTAATTTCTTACAAATGTATCATACTCTTTGAAAATGTTTTACTCAATACGTATTAAAGAACTAAGGCATACTTATTTTTTTGTATAAAAAAACCATGACATACGTTTTTCTTCAGTGGTCTGTAGAATTTTAAAATCATATACTTAGCGATTACCACCGTTTTACGTAGAGAAGAGCTGCACATATACACAACAGTTATTGCAATATTGTATAGATAAGGGCAAGCACATATAAATAGGGGCAGGGGGCAGGGGGGATGTGGGAATATTAAACATTTAAAAAAACATAGTAGAAAAGGGAAGAGGATCCTTGCCCAAAGCGCCTGTGATTACATTACTGGTATAATTAAATTCCTATTAACAATGGGTTTGTTTTAAGAAAGCAATAAGAGGTTCTTTTCTGTTTATAATTCAATTCAATTTAATATTTTATTTACGTCTCACCTTATGCATACAATTACACAATACATACATTTTTATACATAAGCCAATCTGTACAGATTTGTGAGAGACGATAACAACTAAAACAACATGTATATACATTAATAAATACTAAACTATACAATTAACATAAGCGCTTAAGAACTGTCTAACTAACTTATTTCCTCATTGTTCATCGTTCTTTGCATATAATTAAATCTAAATTAATAACTTGACATCGGCCTATCATACGACACACGAAAACGATTGACGAGGTTTGGACAAGCATATTAAAGGGGCATTAGCTACGAGTTATAAAAAAATAAAATATGATTTTTTTTTCGTTCAATCAGTAATGAAAGTGAAATAGTGAAATAATAATTCGCTTTTACAGCCAGTTTGGTTCAGTTTTGTCAAAATAAGCAAAGAAATATCGCTAATGAATTATTCACTTGCAAGTGAATAATTCGACTTCATTGAATCCTTATTCATGTGAACTTTAATTGATCCCTGTAGCTAGAGATGGATTATACGTATGAACTAGACGTGTTCAGTTATTGAATGGAAAAGACTGTAAAGACTGGAAGTGAAACAATTCGATCTAGAAAACTCATTCTTATACAGGTAAAAACGATTATTAACATATTTTTAACCGATAATATGAAATCAAACAGACCTAGAAAAATACAATTGCACGAGTTCGCAATCTATTTATATCTATGTTTATGTTTATATGGGGTTATATGACAGTCTTCGGATGTCACCTTGATGGTTAATAAATGGCGTCTGGACTAAAATACACACGAAATGCTGATACATAAAATCGAGTCTATGCACCTTAAGTTGTTTATTTTAGACTTTTTATAATTTGGATATGCGTTTTAGTATGTTATAAGTCGAATGTAAGAACTTTAGTCAAATCAGTGAACATGAATTTGACAGCTAATGCCCCTTTAAAATGAGTCGGAGTAATTTTTTTTCTGAATCCATTCGTATTTTTTAATCTCGATCTGTAGATGAACAAAACGTATATAAAAGAAAATACTAAAAATCGGTATAGGAAATTATCACTTGGCTCTATAACAGCATAATAGATAACAACAACGAAAAAAATACAAATTATACCATATTAGAGAATACCTATAGTTACTCGATGACCGATAAAAGTACTTAAACTGCTGATAAGAAGTCGTGTCAGTCTACATGTAGTATCGGTTGTCGTACTTCACACAGCAACATCTTAAGTTGTACAAGAAGATATGTGCAATGCCCAACAGTGCGTATGCAGAATTTTGTTTTATTTGTCAAAACTTTTACTAACTTTTATCACAAATATAGATAATTGTTATTAAAGGATGATTCTACCTATAAGAATTAAATAAAGTCTCGCCTAATATTTTACGATTATAATATAATAAAACTAATCTGTTTAGGAAATGTCCTTAAACCTTTCTGTTTACGATATAAGACTTATTGATAAAGATTATATAGACAGGTATGCTGTTATTGTTCAATCTTTCCGTCTGTTTGGGTGTTGGTTTTTTTTTCTTTTTTTTTGCTGATAAAGCTTAAGTCAATCTTCTTTTTTTAATAATATAGTTTTTTTTCTGCATTGAAATACTGTACAAATTTATTCAAATTATACCTTCTTGTTCTGTCTATGTTGTTGTTGCAAAATATATATCCATCGAAACAGTGTGTGACGATATGATTTTAGTTTTTCTGGATTTTAAGAAGTACTCTAAGCTTGCTTTCTGTCTCTTGAATCAGTTTTTGATGGGTATTGTTTAATATTGTTTTTTTACATGTATTTGATCTTTTATTCTGGTATAATAGTCATGTGATTTTTCTGTATTGATTTTTACAGTACGTATTTTTTTTTTTTTTTTTACTTTTTGTTAATCCACCGATCGAAATTAAAAGGACTAGTGAGAAACATGATCAGTTCCTTGATGATCCGGGTTTGTTTTCCGCTAAGGAAAATTGGTATTGATGACACATTCTTTGTTTAATTATTTTTTAACATTTCTGCTTTCTGGGCCCTAGAGCTTGTAATGTTGTACAGATAATTGCATATTGTTGAATATCGTATGTTGACTTCTAGACGTCTTCTGGTTTTTGTCTCGTCATATTTCTGTGTTAACGATGTATAATCTACAACCCTTTTTATCAAAATGTAAAGTTCCTCTCCTCGTGCAATAGTATAAAAAAAAAACCTTGACATTTTTACCCTCTTTTCACAAGTATTTCTCAGTGTACAGATACTTGTCTACTACTCTTGTTTAAGTAGAAGAAGATGTTTTATTTCCATTAAATGGGATCACAAAGAGCATATTACAATATAAGATATTATGTATGGAAAAATATGAACAAACAAGTTAATTCAGAAAGTTATATTTCCCAGGATGCATTATAATGTATTTCATTCGGGAGTAGAAATATTGGTTTCGATCCTTTCCACAATGCGTTAGAAAGCTCATATGTGATTTACTTAAGAAATCTTAATCTTTAAGTTAACTCGCCTGTCACTGGATCACCTCTGTCTTTACCACATCTCCATATATTTCTAACACCATAAGCATATATTTCTGGCCTAAAATTTGGAATTCCAACAAAAGGGTTATCAGCTGGTATCTTGTATGCTATATTTGGACCGTGGGCCTCTGTGTTGATATCTAGTCTTAGTACTTTACCAAGAATCGACGATCTACAGAAGTAAAAATGGGTAAATGTATGTATCTATCGAGAATTCCAAATAACGCAAAATCACTTTATAACTGTATAACATCGCAAAACAGTTTAAACCTATAAAATCGTTAAGTTTAATTAAATAATTATGAAAATCAAACATTTTCAAATCTTAATTACAATGATAAAGCTGTAAAAAAAATAATGCATCGAAAATTAAAAATAGATAGATATAAACTACCAGGGGGTAAGTTCACATGTAACATCAGTTTGTTTTAACGTAGAATCTTTATCTTATAACAAAAACGATCATCACAATGCTATATACATTAATCTAATTATCAGGTAAACATATCAATCTCAAAAAGAAAAATATAAAGTAAAAAAAAAAATGCGTTAAATTCAAAAAGCATTCTGATCGTATGCACCCAAAATGAAAAAGCAGTACAATAACATAATTACCTGGTTGTTATGTGTTTGAAAACTTTTTTCGTTTTCTTCCCATTATTCGATTCATTTATTCGTCGTGATCTTGACACTTTTCAACCAAGAACATATAACAGAATTATAAAGCAGTCAACCGGTATAATAAAAAAGTTCAAACGTCTTTTCATGAGGAAGAATAAAAAAAAAGGTTTAAAAAAATCCTATTAAATGTAAGCTGTGCTAAAGTAAGTTAGGTTTCTTGGTTGTGGGTTACTGAAGAAATCACATACAAAACTTTCTCTTTTAATTCTACCTACGTATTCTGAGAAAATCCCTGAGGGTCACCACCACTCCCTCCGTCTCCGACAAATAAATAAAGATAGCCTTCATCACCAAACATTATCTGTAATAAAAGCTTTACATGTTATTTTAATGGTGATTATTTTTATATATGATGATTAGAAGAGGATTATCATGATAATGAGAATGAGCTGTTGTGGATTCATATATAATGGCGCAAAACCTTGTACTTATATATATGTCAGTCTTTTCGGTTTCCAATTTATATGGTCCTTTGGCTTAACTAATACCACATACATACATGAAGTTACAGTATATTTCTATAAAATTATGTATATAAGTAGTTTGATTTCAGATTGAAATTTTACAAAAAGCCAAAATGACCCTTTACGAAGATTGTTGTTCTGTGACATGATTATCGAAGCTGTCTTAGGACTCGGCCATCTTAGAAATTGTCCTAAGTGTAGGACAGCAATTGTTGTACAAATAAAGTAAACATTTATTTGTATACCTGTTATTTGTATAATTGTTGGCTCATTGCAGGATAAGACTTTTCCAGTCCTATGCCCGAATATATTATAGTGAAAATAACGCCAAATTTTTAATTAATCAATAAGAATATCAAAACAATGCATATTCATACGAATTTATAGGACAGTAACTGTTTTATCTTCATTAAACACATGCATAAGTCACACATTTGGCGACCACATTATACACATGCATAAGTCACACATTTGGCGACCACATTATACACATGCATAAGTCACACATTTGGCGACCACATTATACACATGCATAAGTCACACATTTGGCGAACACATTACAGACATACATAAGTCACACATTTGGCGAACACATTATACACATGCATAAGTCACACATTTGGCGAACACATTATACACATACATAAGTCACACATTTGGCGAACACTTTATTAGTCTTGCGTATTTTAGACATTGTTAGAAGAAAGGTGACATTTTGTATTTCTTATTTTTGTCTTCGTCTTCAATACCAGTTCAGAGATGCGCCTGTAAAAATATTGAGTCAGGGGTTATGTTTTCAGAAAAGACGCCCCTCCCCCATTTAGTGTCAAGTAAAAATGCTGTCGAAAAAATTGAAAAGGGCTGCCGGTTTTCTGTTGTTTTTCAATTTTTTTAATTTTAGAAAAAAAAAGTTTATAGATATTTCAGATATTTCAAAATATAAAACGTGAAATTTATTTTTCATTGAAAATTATCAGATAACGAAAAGAATTAAAAAAAAACTTTGTGTGGCTTTTAAAACAACACACCAAGTTCCTCCTCCTCTTACATATATTGATAAAACATTTGATCTTACATGACTCTTTATCGTAACACAAGTTATTAAATCATCTTTATTACATTCATTAGCTTATATACTTTTCATGTCATACGGGAATAAAGATATATGTTTCGTTTTAACTACTCTCAAATTGCAAAACGTTTTGTTGAACGTTTCAAAGTTTGCTTTCTGCTTCGTTTAAGAATAATTTAGTACAGACTTATTAAGCTTGATAGGTTCCCATGGCGTAAAGATAGATAAAACATTTAGTGCATCTGCTATAAATCAATTTACATACTTTTTCTAAGTACATAGTATCTAAAGTCAATTATTTTTGCACCTGGTGGTGAGTATTAAATGACCTGCCACACAAGGAACTTTGTTTCTTTATCTAATATCAAAATAGGGGGAAAATTAGGCTCAAAAGTCTGTCTACTTGTAACAAATATATATATACACATTTCAGTGTATGTAATACTTTTAAAAATCTAAATTCCTACAAGGCAACAGAGTGGTAAAAACAGCGTTTGTGCATGAATAGTAGACTACTTCGTTTATCCATTATCATATATGAACTTTTGAAAGTGTGTTTCAAAACGTGCTTAGTTATACAATCTGACAAGAAGAAAAATTATAATATCACGAAGAAAAACATGAGTTGTCAGTCTTGAACTCGTGACATGTATCGTTGTCGTATGTCCTTATGTTGTTATTGAACAAAACATTCGTGTGGAAAGGCACTTCGGGAATTTTCACGATTTCTATAATTTATATAATTTCCAGTAGGCTGAACAAACTGCACATACACCAACTCAAAACTACAATATTTTTTGATCATGCTGTTTTAAAGTTGTTAAGATTATTATTATACATGTTATATGTTTAATCTGCACGACTGACAAATGAAAGACACTTTTTCACGTCTGTCTTGGTTATATCAGTAAACGTACATGTACACGAATTTTGACAAGCAAAAAAAAAATGATATCTTGCATATATATGATGCTTTATTCCTCAAACAGTCGGTTAAACAACAGACTGAACTCAGAAGCGTTTCGTATTTAAACGCAACATGCAAACATGTATAAAAAATTAACAATGAATAATTTTGTAAGAAAATAAACACCCCAAACATAATATATCCTTAACCCAGGTAGGAATAAATTTCAACATACTTCTCCTCCATTGTGGTTCCAGTATGGTTGAGGTATTTCCAGTAGCACTCTCTCCGAGGACACATTACCAATGTTAGGATCATTGTTTGAAACACGGAATTCACTGATTCTGACCAGATGATTGTTCGAATCTAGTTTATTGTTATACGTCGAGTAATAAATGAAAAATCTCTGATTATATTTGAAATCAGGATGGAATGCTATCCCAAGCAAACCTCTTTCGTCACCATTGTTTTCTGTATTTAATGTTTTGCTCGATATATCAAGGAATAAATTTTGAAGCCTCCGTCCATTAGGGTAATATATATGGATATACCCCGAAACCTCTCCAACAAAAAGTCGATTAGTTCCATCATTCGCATTGCGTACAAAAACCGGATTCTTAAGTTTTTCTGCTAGTTCTTCCATACATATACATCCAGGCGAGGTAACTTGTTTAATTGATATTTTGTTATTAAGCACATCGTTCGACAGTAATTCGGGATAACAATAGTCCTTATCAACTAGTTCCGTCTGTTGACAGAAAAATGTCCTGTTTTTTGACGCGGCTTGTAAAAGATTTTGGTCTTTCGACATGTATTGCAGCAATCCTCTGCAGTTGTCATAGAAATGCTCACAGTAAGGCTTACACAATCCTGGAAAATCTCGGGGATTAAATGTAGCTTCCGCATCGTAAATGTGGGCTGCATAAGGCGAACACTGTTGGCACAATAACTCTTCAACTATTTTTGAACATTTATTCCACAAATTTGAAGTCTTCCCAATTATGTCGCGAATTCTTTGGTATTCCTTGTATTGATTGAGATCTTTGTTCGGTGTACAACAACTGAATGAAGAATAATTGGCACAAAAATTCAATTTTGTCTTTGGTTGAAACGGAGGTTTATAATCCAGACATTGAGGGTGTGATAATACAAGTGTTAATCCTTTTAAAAATAGAAATGTTAATATAAATTTGTTATTAACGTTACAACAGTTGTATATCATTTTAATCCACGACACAGATAACATGTACACTGCGAAATGATTGACATTTATACGCGAAGTGTATGACGAGAAGAGTTGATGATTTGTTATTTTGTAATAGCGGATGTACTAACTGTAAATACTAGAAACTATTCAGGTTTTTTATCCCGATTCGCACAACTGACTCTTTCTATTTTTAGATTTTTTAACAAATATAACAGTCAATGTACAGTGAAGCATTGACTTTAAGTGAATATTTTCAATAAGTTATAGTTAAAGATATGTTATATATTTAACACCTCAATGAAATTAAAAAAAATTTAAAAAAAAGACTGCATACAAAATTAATCAAACAATGCAATTATAAATACAAAACCGAGCTGAATTTACTTTTGTTGAGTAAAACATTCTGCTGAGTGAATAAAACAATAGAACTGACATATAAGATCATATAATGCATTGACTAAAACATTCTACACTGTATCTCCGGTCGTAAACATTAACCAAACTTTCAACATTCTATCGATTGCTTTGAATACATTTCGAAGCAAAGTCTTCATAAAAAAAAGAAAAATACATCAACAAGAAAAATCTGAAACATCATTTCTTACGGAATGTATCGAATGTTTTGTTTTTTTATGCAGTCCTAGCTCCTGTCAATCTCCAAAAATAGAACATTCTCTAACGAAAGCATTAACTTTTAATAAATCAATCTGACGCAGTCATCTCCTTCCAAACATAAGTTATTCTGACATACAATCTCCTATCAAATGTACTGAATAAATCATGTTGACGCATCTCCTAACAAATATATTTAAAAAAAAATCATTCCGATGCACAGTTTTCTCCAAAATATATTGGATAAATCATTCTGACGTATCATCTCCTACCAAATAGATCGAATGAACCATTCTGTACACCATATTCAACCAAATATATTGAATTAATCATTCTGACGCATCATCTCCCACCAAATGTATTGAATAAATCATTATGTCGCATCATCTCCTTTCAAATATATTGGATAAATCATTCTGACGCATCATCTCCTGCCAAATATATTGAATAAATCCTTCTGATGCATCATCTCCTACCAATTATATTGAATAAATCATTCTGACGCACTATCTCTTTCCAAAAATATTGAATAAACCGTTTTAATGCATCATTTCCTACCAAATTATGGCAAATATATTGAATAAATCTTTCTGACGGACCATCTCCTTCCGAGTATATTTATTACAAGTGTCAGTCTGACGCGCGTTTGATGATATATCATCTCAGTCCTACTCCACACAAGTGATGTCATGTTGACCATTGTGCATGTTTTATTGTGTTGTACCTTATTAGAGAGGAGGGGGGAAAGGATGCAAGAAAGTGTGGATGAACGTGTCAAATTTTGTATTTCCCGAAATGACCATGTGATTAAGAAATCATGAAAAATCTTGAATTTGAACTTTGAACTTGAATTTGTAATAGAATGATGCCAAGGATCTGAGGTCGCCTCAGTCGAAATAAATATGAAATAAGGGGATGTGGTATGATAGCCAATGAGACAACAATCTACAAGAGACCAAAATGGCACAGATGTCAGCAACTATAGGTCACCACATGGCCTTCAACAACGAGCAAAACCCATACCGCACAGCAACGGTCTGATTTTTGTACAAAAAAACAAATAAAAACCAAATATGATACATAGTATTAAAAACTACTAAATTACAGGTTCCTGGCTTGGGACAGGCACATACAGTATGTATCGGGGTTAAACATTTTTGCGGGTGCCTAACCTCCCTCAGCTATTAACAGAGGGTACCTCTTCATGAAAAATCAACGAATCTAGTAAATTAACACCACATAAACAGATTTTACAGCGTGTGCTTGTTTATATACCCCTAGAGACTATGCTCTCAGATGTCATACGAAAAATATCTACACCGTCTTATGTATTTCTATGTATAATGTTAGCTATGATTCAAGTTAATGTTTCCTAACCAAAATAATCTGCAATGGTTTACTTCGACTGGACAACTTCTTAAGCATTTTCGTCCTTGTTCTATCTGTAGGGCAAAAATCGAAAGTGCAAAACCTGAAGCAAACTGTTAAAGTGTTGATTATTTACATGACATCAGTTTTTTATCCTTAAGTGCTTACGAGGATTTTTGGGAGAATCAATTCCGAATCGGTTTTTCATTCCCCTAGAGACCACACTCAAGAGGCCGTACATAAATACGAACACAATAAAATTGAGAATGGAAATACAATACTTGTATGTCAAATTTATTTATATAATATAAACAATATATCATGATAATGTCCAGGATAACCTCATCAAGATTCATGTAGTACAATGTTAACAATATACATGTATATTGTTCCCTAGGTTTCCGAATTTTGATATTTGTTCTAAGGGCAGATTCACGGGCGAAGACGACGATCGACGAACAGCGAATCATTGTTGATTATCTCCACCGCTTAATTAAGATTGGGATAATAAACACTGAGTTATAATATAATGTAATGTAATCATTTTCCATTTAAAAAAAAACAGGCTATAGGAGTGTAGTATTTTTAATCTGGAACACACTAGTGCTACGTATATGTATGAAATTAAACCAGAGAAGTTTAAGAAAAAAATCTCTAATAACAGAATAATATGCAGCAAAGATTCACATTTTTAATTAAAGTTTTTAAGGTAAATGAAAACGAACTTTATTCGGACATAAACATTTTATTCCAATGAATCAAGAAGACTGATGCTTACTATGCGGTATGGGTTTTGCTCATTGTTGAAGGCCGTATGATGACCTATAGTTGTTAACTTCTACGTCATTTGGTCTCTGGTGAAGAGTTTTCTCATTGGCAATCATATTTTTTAAGTCCAATCATCCTATGCAGAAAAGGCTTATGCATCAATAAGATTGAAAATTTATAGTAGTGGAAAATGAATGATGATTTGGGGTTAAATTCGTCGATTTTTAATAAAACATCAACGGCAACTGGGAAATTTTAATATTTATTATATTATTATATATAGTTCTATTGAAAATATCAAAACATGATTGTATAAGTAAACTGACAAAAAATCATGACCTTAAATTACTAATATCAAAAATTAAGAATTTATCATAAAAATCTTCAAAAATAGGAAACCGAAAACTTTATCAGATGTAACGCTGTTTGAAAAATAACAAACATAATTGTATACGGAAACTGACAAAAGTTTATGACCAGAAATTACTATTTTGAGTCAAAACCTAAAAAAAATTATCATGAAATCTCCGAAAACCAGAAACTGGGAAATCTGTCAAAAGTAATGAAAAAAATTTGTTTTTGTCAATATTTTCCAGAATATAAACTGAATAAGTTGAAATATTTAAAATCTCCTATGACAAACTATATCTATGCTATACATCTTAGTTTAAATCATTTCGTACAGCTATGTAAATAAATTTCCAGAGCCTGATAATTTGCTTGGAGAAATGATTGTTAATACATATTAAGTCGAGTTATTAGAACTGTATTATTTTTGCAATACAGAATATAGCTAGTAGATTCAGATACAAGATATAGAATAATATCTGTAAGATAATTCGGTCACTGAAAATTAATGTGTATGTGTATGAAAATAAGGAAACGTGATTGCCATTGAAACAACTATCCCGCAAGGTTCTAAAATGACGTGAATGTAACCAAGGACAATAGCGGCCACAGTTCACTTCGAATGACGAGATCTGACATGATACCAGAATGCCGACGTTTTTGATTTAATTGACAAGTCTGTGCATCATTGGTCAAGGTTAAATACTAAAGAACGAGGACCATGATCCCCAAATACGTCGGCTCATATTCGCATCACCCCCTGTTTGTCAGGGGAGTGAAGATTAACAATTTCTGGATCATAAAACAGTTAAGCTCGAACTGGTACCAATTCAGAACCGGCCACTCATGGTAGACACGAGATGGTCTCATCAGAACTTCCTGCGTTAACACAGGAAAGTAAAAACCTAATATGATCCGACGTACAATACAGGAAAGGTTCATAACCCCTTATTCTTGCCACGTTAGTTGGTCTATACACACTCATAAAAAAAAACCCATACCGGTAAAAAAAAACCTTAGAAAGTCCATTTCCAATTATACTTTGGGGAAAGAGCGAATTTTGTACGATGATAGGAAAGTTTCAACTCGCCCTTGAATGTTGTTTAAGTAAATGTGACCAGCAATGATATTTTCAGGCTTATGGAGGTACCAGGGTCAAAATGAGTTTTTTGCATTTTTATGAAGGATAGATAGATTCAAAACACTCAGACAAGTTATTTTACTATATTCTTCGAAATAACAGAACAATAGTCATTTTTGTTAGTTTCGATTTTATTAAAAATTTTCATTTTTTTTTTCAATTTATCACATGTATGTTCACATGTTATAGTTGCTATGTCATATTGTTTGTATCCTATATCGGATACGTGAGTTCCGTCAAACCTACATAAATTCATTTCTCTAGCTCGGATATTAGGATGATGAATAATACAGTGTCCGTCCTTCAAGACATAATTGTTTATAGCAGAGTTTACTCTTTTTCGAGATCGTTCAATAGCTTTTCCATCTATTCTTTTGCACCATGCCAATACCTTCTCATTAACATTTCGCTCCACACGATGCGAGTGTTTAGCCCCGTCACACTAGACCAAGACCATGAGGATCCCACTACAATCTATAGAAAAATAAGATCGCGGTGAGATCGTAGTATGGTCGGCTTGAATATTCAATATTTCATAGTTTTCGCGTTCATACCACGACCTTGCTATGATCCTGATAAGACCCTGCTACGATTCCGCTACGATATTAACACATTCTAGTTACGATCTTGTGACGCTCATGTTACGTCTAATAGTCTAATAAGACATTACCACGACTTACACGATCTCTGTACGCTTCTACCAAGACCTTCCTGATCGCATTACGATCTCAATACGAGTCTACTACGATCGAACCACGACTCCACTACGTTCACTACACTCTAGAATATGGCTCCATCAAATAATTTCTCAACCCAAATGCGTCGTCATCCAAGATGAGGTATGGCATGTTCAGGTAGTCATTAGGTAATGGATCTGACTTTGGAAATCCAATAGTATTATCTTCCA